AAATAAACTAAGTAAGCCACAGCATGCAATTAGAAAAGACGGATGGATTCCAAGGATTACTGTAGAGGCTTATAACCCCCTCCCCCCACATTTAGAAAGTTCTCTTAATGAGTTTTCTTTTCTTTTTTGTAACTGTAGAATTTAATTTGAAGGAAGTGATAAAAACCAATATAAACCAAATTATATAATACAGCAAATGCATTATATAACTGATTCATAATGCTTAATGCTAGACCCTGAAGTTGCTCCCACTTCTACCTTCTTTTTTTAATGTCCAGAAAACACTTTAGTCTTCTTCACCTGTTTATTTAAAGATTGGATCATTTTTAAATGAATACCATTAGATAACTATTGTGGCAATGATCTTCCCTGATCCCTTTGCCATAGCACTATCATTTTCATTTTCCAGCCATACGGGAACTCCTTTTATGCCTCTTGAGACACTTTATAGCTATATGTATTTTCAATGATAAAGAGTTTTGACAGTTCCATGGTAGGACTGAATAAACTGAGACTATAGAGATGGCATAACTTTCAGAGGTCCTAGGAAATATCTTTGACAGAATAATCAGAGGGATTAAGAATTGATTATGGAACCAAACTAAGACTTGATAATAGGCAACAGGGTAATAGTATTTATGTATATACTGAAATTAAGATTATAGAAAGTGTTGGGTGGGGCAAGGGAAGGTGATAAGACTAGCACAGCAAGATTAATACTTGCTGCAATTATACTAAGGAATTAAATCAGGTGAGTTGTTTCGAATTTTAAATCTGTGGCTTTTTCTTATGGAAGGCAGGAAGTTAAGAGTAGGACAGGTGAGTGAGCAAGCATTTTGAATTCTTTATCATCATCTTCCAGGAAAAAAAATGCCCATTTATTGTTAGTATGGGGAAAAGAGATACTATTTCCTTAAATACAGTATTTTAAGTTTTTTGGAATTGACCAAAATGAATTAATTCAAATATCTCTCTGTTCACTTGAGTAATATTCCCACATCATAAGGCCCTCTTCTTTATCCAGAGTGACTTATAGTGGAAGGCAACAGGTTATCAAATGGGAAACCAGCTGTGGCCAGGGATTTAGGTGGAAGAAATAGAAACCCTAGAACATGGCTTTTGTGAAAGAACAAAAGCTCTAAATCAAAGAGGTGATACTGAATTGTAGTATGCACTTTAACCCACTGGAAGGAAGTACAACAAAATGTAAATAGTGGCTAAGCAGTGAGATAATGGGTAATTTTAAAATGTTCTTTTTAATTTTCTGTATTTTTCATAAGTATGTATTTTATCCAGAATGTAAAAAAGAAAAATTTAAAATTTACTTTACCCCAATGGCAAAGATTTGTCTTATATCCTTACAGAATTGTTTGTTACACATGGTTCTTAAAATAATTAGTGGCTTGTTCAGACTTTTCCCTCTTTCTAAATCATCTCTGTAAAACAAGTTCTGAAGGGATACTATGCCTTTCGAATCGAAAAGTTTTAAGAAAGCTGAATTTGGGATGTAAGGTACTTTTGCCTTTATTAACATCTACAAAAAAACTGTGAGATAATAGGCATCCATATCTCTAGGGGAAGGAGGAAATACATCGAGATGATGAGCTTAATCAGTGTGAAGGGAGAAATAACTTCAAAAATATTAATAAAAGTATTGTATTGATCTTAATTAAGTGGTAACTTGCTACTTTATTTTCTTTTATCTTTCAAATTCATTCCATCCTTGGGAGAGGTCAATTGTTAAGACTTGAGCCTGTCCCCTTCCCCAGCTGTCAGCACCCAAAATAAATCTTTCCCTTTCTCTTTTACCAAAAAAAAAAAAAAAAATCACTCCATCTTGAATGCAGTTTTAGGTTTATTAGGTTACAGGTCTTCCTATTATATCATGATTACTTGATTCCTGCCTTCTTTAAACTCTTTAAACTCTATTTTTTCTTTCTTTCTTTTTTTAAAGCCGTTCTTATTTCTTATTTGCTCATTTTTTACTGTCTTGATTTTTCAACCCACATACCTTAAAGCAAGTGATCCTCCAACTGGTTTGGAGTTTTATGCCACATGTTTCTGAAGGATACTGGCTAATGCTTAGTGATTCAGAGCAAGTTAGCAACCTCATTACACCTACAGGGTTAGCAATGCTCACAGGTGCCACTGGTTATTACTGGAAGGCCTACGGCAAAGGCAGAGGAGAAGAAAAAAAGGGAAAATAAAGGGAATGGGGAGAAAGGAATGGGAGTAAAGGAAGACAGGGGTGGAGAGAAGGTACACGAAGTAGAGAGCCACACAGCTTCAAGGATATTCTTTACCAAACACTGCCTGTGGGCGGTGTTCTAACACAGAAAAGACTGGGACCATGCATCTTTGTTCACCGATGGCTTCTGCTGACTTCATTATGATGTTGGTATATATACACAGACACAGCACACGTTCCCACTTTTGAGATTTAACCATATCCATAATGGTTATCTGTTATGTATTATGTCTGTTATATATTCTCTATCTTGGAGATAGCAACACTTCACAGGAAAGAAATAATGTGAACAAGCTGCATAATAGTCTGTTGAACGTTTTATATTGTGAGATGTTAGATGTTTTTTATTTGTGTGTGTGTGTGTGTGTGTGTGTGAAATAGCTAAAAACACCACCATTTCAAAACAAAAGAATAAATAAGATACCAGATGGTAATTTTATATAAAATTTCTTTGGCAGATTCTATGGTAGCAGAAAGGCTCTTCTAAGGCTCATGTAGGCTAATCACTCTTTTTGGCAACTAGAAAAGCTAAGAGCAATAGTTTCTTTTTATTGAGCTGCTGCTATTTCATGCAAAAATCACGCATGATTTTTGAAGATATAAGAACACCATTCTATTTGAGAATAATTCTATCTCAAATAATTTATTTTCTCACTTTCTCCTTCTTTATATTACCAAGAATGTAAAAAATAGACTTTCTTATCCCTTTGGTATTTCATTTGCTAAAGTTGTCTGTTCTACTCTGGAAGTAAGACTTCTTCTTCATTTTATAGTAATCCTATATGGCTACCAATTATAAATTCAAAACAACTGAAATTTTTTTTAATTAGTTAATTTATTTACTTTTAAAGATTTTATTTATTTATTTGATAGAGAGAGACAAAGTGGGAGAGGGAACACAAGCAGGGGGCGTGGGAGAGGGAGAAGCAGGCTTCCCGCTGAGCAGGGAGCCTGATGTGGGGCTCCATCCCAGGACCCTGGGATCATGACCTGAGCCGAAGGCAGACGCTTAACGACTGAGCCACCCAGGCGCCCCCAGAACTGAAATTTTACTTGGAGAACAAGAAACAAGAAGAGCCAATGAGACTATCAGAAGATTGAAATAATTTTCTTTCTGGACAATATTCATTATAATAAGCACTGTAGAAGGAATAAATTTGGAAGAAAAAAAATCATAAGAGCCACTGGGGATTTGTTATTCATGTTTTCAGAAATACTCTAATTTAGTGAGATCAAGCTGAATGAGATGCATCCAAGATAGTATCCCCAAGAAAGAATACACTAGTAGAAATTAATCTTTCTACCACTTTGTTTACATAGAATAGGAGAGTAACAATTCAAATAAATGTTAACCTTTTTTTTTCAGAAATGGTCTAAGGAAATGTGTTTATAATAATGATAGTGATAATAATAGTTACCATTATCAAACATTTTATAAAACAACTATTGAGTGCTTGTTTTTGGTACCAGATAATTTACTAAGGCTTTCTAGGGTCTCATTAGATCCTCACAACTTGTTGGGGTAAGTATTGTTATAATTATCATCATTTTACAGATGAGACAACTGAAGCTCAAAAAGTTTAAGTAATTTGCTCAAAGTTATAAAGATGGAACTAGTACTGGGACCCAGATCGCCCTTACTTTGCTTTTCAAAGCCCATAACCATAACCATTTGCTATAGTGCCTCCAACACAAAAAGATATTGCTAAGAAATCGTAATGGGACTTGGAGGAGATGAATGAATATATTTAATTATAAAAATGAAATTATTTTAATGGCTAGACAGAGTAAAAACAGCAACAAACAAGTTAGAGACTCCCTAAAGAACCATTAAAAAGGAACTGGCCTTCTTAACAGCTCTGATAAGCCGGGAAATGTCTTTAGACATTTCTTCAATGATATCAGCCTTGAGTTAATAACCAATAATAGTTTCTAAGTAATTCCATTGCATTTTCATTTTGGGTTCTTAGATTAGACTTTAAGCCGGCAATTGTTATTTAGTATTTGCTTTTAACCTTTATGCAATCTCAGGGAACTCCAAAGGTATGAGCTGCTGGTACCATCGGAGGTTTCAGAGCTTTGAAATACAGCTCTTCCAGGGAATTAGAGGATTCCCCTGTACTTGCTTTTTATGAAGCCCTTATTGATGTTTGAGTTTAAAACAGAAGAAAAGCCCACCCTACATGATTCCTGTGTTGGGAATCTGCTCTTCTTTTTTGGACCACATAAATATTTTCAACTAGAAAATGTGGAAAACTTCCAGACCAAGACTGTCTGCTACCTGGTATGTGTAGAGGTCAAAAGAATAAATTATGGTACAGTGTTTCTATCAATTTCTACATATTTATTTGTCAACAAACATTTTCAAGTAATGACAGTACTTTCACTGAAAAGTTTTAATCCAGATTGTTATCTGTGAATAAAATTATTTTGGTAACCAGGTAGGAAAAAAGTGTAAAACTCATTGGATGCCTAGGCTGAGCAAAATATCTGAAGAAAAATAAATACAGTGTGAGTATGATGATACTCAAAGTCCCAAAATATTTACCTCGGACAGCATAGCCATCTTTTACTGATGCTGGAAAGGGGGGAAGGTTGTCTTTTGCATATACATCTTGAGCAAGGACTCTCCCCATTCCATCTGAAAAAAGAGAAAATAAGAAAAATATCGATTTTGAGAGCAATGGGTTAAACAGGCAGTCATAAACAAGATGGATAAGTGCCTGTCTGACAAAGCTTATACATGGGCTCAGTCAGACCTCCTGATTTCTATCCCAAGGAGTTGAAGACAGAAGGAAGAGATGTATCCTTGTGTCTGAAATGAAAGATTAGATTCAGTCAATTAATAGTTATGCTTGCAGAGATTATCTGAATATGAGGAACTACACAGTCATCAAAGATGTGTTCAATTTGTTGTGTCATTAATCCTTTAACAACCCAAAGAAGACTTTCTTTAAAAAGCCAATTCTTGAACATTTTCATATTTGTTGATCTGGTAATTTCACTTCTAGAAATCTATCCTAAGAAAATAGGTAAATCTTTATGCACATGTTTAGTTGTTTACATTAGTGAGAGAAGTAAAGAAATAAAAATCAATAATATAGAAATTTAAGTAGACAAAGATCTATCCTTATGATAAAATATTATGCAGGTTAAAGTAATATTTATGAAGAATATTCATTGACCAGGAAAATTCTTATGACACATATTTAAAAAACATACAGAATTGCACATGTAGTGTATAATCTTTACTATAATAAGATAGATGTGTACATGTCAACAGAAAAAGATGAGAAGGGCATACATGAAAATATAAAGCATTTGTTATTTTAGTATATTAGAATTATGTATGATTTCCCTTTGCTATATTTTTCTGAAAATTTCCAAGTTTTTTTTTTTAACATTTTATTTATTTATTTGACACAGAGAGAGAGCACAAGTAGGCAGAGCAGCAGGCAGAGGGAGGGAGAAACAGGCTCCCCGCTGAGCAGGGAGCCCGATGCGGGGCTCAATCCCAGAACCCTGGGATCATGACTGGAGCTGAAGGCAGCCGCTTAACCGACTGAGCCACCCAGGCGCCCCTCAAGTTTTTTATAATGATCAAATGTCATTTTTATAAGAAGAAAGTTTTTTTTTTTCTTAAGAAAAGTAAAGGAATTTTAGCCTTTGATTTTGGCTTTATTAACCTAAAAAAATTAGTGATTACAAGTTAGCTGAGGGCCAGTAACCTGTCTTGTGAAATGACTATTCAAACTACTCTGGATAAAAATCATTTTCAGCTAGAGCTTAGGAATTCGAACTAGTGCCGAAAAGAATACAAGAGTCAAGACCAATTCCTTAAATCTTCTTGTTAGAATCTGTCTTTATTATTATTATTTCAAAGAGGCAAAATAATAACAAATAGGAGGTGGAGAAGGAAGAAGAGGGGAAGGAAAAAAAATCAAGCTTGTCTCCAAAGACTATAAGTAATACAGGGCTTGATTTACATGAGATGTTCATATAATTGTTTCCAGAGCTAGATAGGAGTCTTTTTGTCTGTCTGTTTTTTTTTTGTTTGTTTTTGGCTTTGTCCTTCTTGCCACCCAAAGCCTCTGTTTTCCAGATCCCAGGACCTAGAAGTAAGTACCGAGAGATTTTTAATTTTGTACTCTGATCCACAGTGACAGTGATACTCTCCTTTTAGGGAGGTGACAGCTGAATTGGAAGGGAGAACTTCTTAGCAGATTCTAGCTTCAGATATTCCTAGACGGTTGTAGCTATTCTGGAGCTATCCTGGAGCTATGGACCCCTATTTAGTAAGACCAGGGAAGTGGTGAAACCAGAATCTAGTTTGGATATACTTATACAAAATTAACTGCCAAATGAAGCTATAAGATAGTTCCTGATGGTATTTGCCCAGGATCACAATAAACCTCCTGGGGTGGCTCCTTGCCTGGAACTAATCTGGCCTGGGGTGGTTCATGAAAATGTAAACTCTACCCTAGCTTAGATCCTAAGAGAATGACTTTGCTAGGATTTTGAATAGCTCATTAATAGTAACAGTTAATAATAAAAGATAGCACAAGGATATTAGGAAGTATAAACTTCCAGGTACAAAATAACTGGTTTGCCTGGGTCTTCAGCTTACAGATGGCATACCATGAGACTGAACAGTATCCATAATCATGGGAGCCAATTCCTCACAATAAATCTCATCAGGTATATATAATCATATATATATATTCCTATTGGTTCTGTTTCTTTGGAGAACCTTAACTAATACAAATGGAACAGAATAGAAAGTTCAGAAATAAACTTTTGTGTATACAGTCAAATGACCTTCAATGGGGAAAGGACAGTCTTTTCACAAATGGTGTTGGTGTTGGGAAAACTGGATATCCACATGCAAAAGAATGAAGTTGGATCCTTACTTTACACCATATATAAAAATTAACTCAAAATGGATTAAAGAACTAAATATAAAACCTAAAACTATAACATTCTTAGAAGAAAAGATACAGGAAAACTTTATGACGTTGGATTTGGTAATGATTTTTTTTATAATGGTGATGAATAGATAAAATGTTTTCTTTATTTTTTCTGATTTTATAATGAAACATTTCTCCCAACAATGTAAGTGGGCCTCAGTTTTTTAAAAGTTTTTATTTCAATTCCAGTTAGTTAACATACAGGGTAATATTAGTTTCAGGTGTACAATATAGTGATTCAGTACTTCCATACATCACCAACGCTCATCGCAACAAGTGCACTTCTTAAACCCCTTCACCTATTTAACCCATCCCCCTACCCACCTCCCTTCTGGTAGCCATCTAGTTTGTTCTCTGTAGTTAAGAGTCTGTTTCTCAGTTTGGGTAATGATTTCTTGAGTATGACACCGAAGGCACAGGCAACTAAAGCAAACATAGACAAATGGGGCTACATCAAACTTAAAAACTTTTGTGTATCACTACTGGGTATTTACCCCCAAAATATAAAAACACTAATTCAAAGGGATACATGCACCCCTATGTTTATTGCAGCATTATTTAAATAGCCAAATTATGCAAGCATTCTGTGTCTACTGACAGATGAATGGATAAAGAAGATGTGGTGTGTATATACACAATGGAATATCATTCAGCCATAAAAAGAATGAAATCTTGCCATTTTCAACAATATGGATGGAGCTAGAGAGCATAATGGCAAAGTGAAATAAGTCAGAAAAAGACAAATACCATATGATTTCACTCATATGTGGAATTTAAGGAACAAAACAAACAAAGAGAGACACACATACCAAGAAACAGACTCTTAACTACAGAGAACAAACTGCAGGTTACCAGAGGGAAGGTGGGTGGAGGGATGGGTGAAAAAGTGATGGGGGATTAAAGAGTACACTTATCATGATGAGCATTGAGTGAATCACTATGTTGTACACTTGAAACTAATACAACACTATATGTTAATTATACTGGAATTAAATAAAAAATCTAAAAAAAAGATTATATAGGGAAAAAACTTCTGTGCATTAGGGACAAAATCAACAGAGTAAAAAGGCAATCTATGGAATGGGAGAATATAGTTGCAAATCATCTATCTGATAAACAGTTAATGTCCTGAACATATAAAGAACTCTTATAACTCAATAACAAAAAGATCAAATGACTCAATTAAAAATGGGCAAAAAATTTGAACAGATGTTTCTCCAAAAATGATATACAAATAGTCAACAACATATGAGAATCAACATCATTAATCATTAGAGAAGTGCAAATCAAAACCAGAATGAGATATCACCTCATACCCATTAGGATGGCAATTATAAAAAAAAAACAGAAAATAACAAGTGTTGAGGAGAATATGGGGAAATTGGAGCCCTTGTACACTCTTGGTAGGATTGTAAAATAGTGCAACCACCACGGAAAATCATAAGAAGTTTCCTCAAAAAATTAAAAATAGAAATACCATATGGTCCATCAATTCTACTTCTGGGTTTGTATCCAAAAGAATTGAAAGCAGCATCTCAAAGAGATATTTTCACACCCATGTTCACTGTAGCACTATTCATAATAGTCAAGTGGTGGAAGCAGCCCAAATGTTCATCAACGGATGAATGGATAAACAAAATGTGGTGTATATATTTATATACTGTCACATGATACAACATGGATGGACCTTGAAGACATTATGCTAAGTAAAATAAACCAGACACAAAAAGACAAATACTGCATAATTCCACTTACATGATGTATCTAAAGTAGTCAAATTCTTAGCAACAGAAGGTAGAATGGTGGTTACTAGGGGCTGGGATGAGGGGGAAGAGGGGAGTTGTTTAACGGGTGTAGAGTTTCACGTATCTAGTATGAAAAAGTTATGGAGATACATTTCACAGCAGTGTGAATGTACTTAATGCCATTGAATTAAACAATTAATAATGGTTAAGATGGTAAATTTTGTTAATGTGGTTTTTACTGCAATAAAAAAAGGAATGAGGTATTGATACATGCTATAACATGGATGGATCTTGAAAATATTATGCTAAGTAAAGAACCCAGTCACAAAAGACCACATATATGATCCCATTATATGAAATGTTCAGAGTAGGTAAACCTATAGTAGAATGTACATTGGTAGTTACTTAGGGCTAGATGGGGGTGACTGATGAGGATAGGAGAGGATGACATCTAGTGAGGATGGGGTTTCTTTTGAGGTGATGAAAACGTTCTAAAATTGACTGTGGTGATGGTTGTACCTATCTGTGAATTTACTAAAAACACTTGAACTATATACTTTAAGTGGGTGAATTATATAGCATATGAGTTATATCTCAATAAAGGGCAAAGATAATAGATTAAAAAATAAGAATATTTATCTCATTTCAACATATACTATATTTAGAAGAACCAAGAACAGTCATTATTTGTAGCACACATATACCATCTGGTCTTTATAGACCTTCAAATATCATGGAAAGAAAAATAAAACATTTCACCTGGAAAGAAAGAATTGCTTCACATTTAACTAAAGTTATTAATATAAATTTAATAATACATATAATTAGCCAGTTTTTTATTTTGGACTCATGCTAAATACAGGGGTTGCTATCTTTAAGGTAAATTTGTTCCCTACTGGATTAGTTCTGATTTTGGATGTGGTATCATGTTAGCAGCAGAGATTAAGTTTCTTCAAAGAAAAAAACAATCATTACCTCAAGTTTTGGTCTAAAAGCCTAGGGCAAGGGAAAGGATTGGGAGAAAAATATGCAATTGATTGAAAAATGGTCCGGGCTACCAGTTGGCAGAAGATATTAGAGAACAGAAGGAATATATGTCAGATATACCTCTCAGCTACACAAGCAACTATATCCATATCTCTCAGTAGGGTTCAGGACTAAACAGTCAATGGATAGCTCTTTCAAGCAGTTCATATTAGCCTTGATTCGATGTCTGCCCAGATGACCTATTTTGTAACTTAAAGAGTACATAGTAGTGGTGCAAATCACATGGGACATTCTTGCATACACGTACCTACATGTTAAACCATCCCTTCTCTTTGCCCATAGGTGGAGCCCAAGTATTGGTGTTGAATAAACTTTGGGCATGAGATTTTTAGAAAGAGAGGCTCAGCATTCAACTTGAATGGAACCAGGCAGCAGTAACTTCTCAACTAGATATAATAACTGTTTTAAGTTTATAATTTGGTAGAGAAAGCTGAAGCTGTGGGAGCTAAAGATCTTACTAAAAGATACAATTTCAGGGAAACATGAGCAAAATTCCCTTTTCCCAGTCTTTCTAATCCAGTGAGAGCCCCATTTATAATAAGCAAAAGACAGTTTCCCCAATATATAGTTAATATGCTTTCTAGGAACATTTGGTGGTGGGAGTTTATAGCTCTTCACAGTCTCCAGTGAGCATATTTCAGTTGTAGAAAGTTAGGCGGTATACCAAGAAGCTATGGTCCTGCTTTCAGAATCTGAGGAGGTCATGTCTATTCTGTTCTATCCTATCCCATACACAGTATTCTCTAAGTTCTGTATAATAAAGGATGTATTAAATTTGATGAAGATGATAACAATAAATGCATATTTCTAGATTCTGTGGGGATCAAAAATCTTAAACGTAGGGCTGTGTATCACTGGGGACCCTTGTCCATATATACAATTAAGTAATCTCAAGAGGTTGATAAGAAGAAAGGAATGGAAAAGACTGGTTGATGATTTACACTGTTTTGTGTAGTATGCTCACTTAGGCTGCAAGAAGACAGTGGCAGAATGCTTCATTAAAAGGTGATAGACTTTTTATGTTGTCAGCAAGATATTCATATACAAGTCAGATTCCCACATGATAGTTATTAAATTCTCTACTCTTTGGAGTGCTAGCTTTTTTATACTGGGATGACTGGCCTAAAAAATATCTTCAGAAAGAGTCTTTATAGATTCAAATGGTTGACAATGGACATATATAGAAGGAAATCAAAATAGAGAGCTATTTATTAAGTTGAGTACAATTTGTAAGCACTGAATCCAAATGTAGTTTCTAAATGGTAAAAGTAAAATATTTAATTTGTTTGGTTGGGCATTTATTCTGGGACAGATGTTACTTTTTTCTTGTGTCTAAAGTCGGATGTTAGGATACCCAAGTGGCTTTTAGATATAAGAGGGAAAAGTCACTTATCAAAATGATTTCACATTTGTAAAGATCCCTGTGTTGTTAGCTCTAAGAAGGCTTTGGAAGAAGTCAAGGGGAAACTCTGAATTCTGAGTGATCCAAGAAATTGATTCCTCGTCCTCACTTTGGGTAACCAAGATATTATCAGTTTTATGAATCAGGAGTGTAGGAATAATGTGGTAGATAGCAGAAGGCTGAAAAGAAAAGATACTATCTAAGGCTTCCTCATAGAAAACATGGATATTAGTTTGCTGTTGATTATAAATTCCTCAAAAGTTTACTTAAGTTCATTGTGACAGCATTGATACTGTACATTTAAAAACTATCATCCCTTCCAATATATGTGAGAGGCTACTGAAGACTACTTTTGACTTAACAGCTATCCATTGTATTCACCAAAACAGTTGAGAAGGCAGGCTTGATACATATACTTACTCAGGCCAAATAACTATTGGTAGGAACAATACTAGCTAGGGCCAGGGATTAAGAGGAAAGATGAATGAAACAGGCAGATTTGGATTGTTACTGCATTAAAACAAAAAACCCCTTAAAATGAAGCACAGCATATTTAAAGAAAACTTCATGATTATTTAACAGACACTAAATATTTAACATGGTGGATGCCCTCAAGCCTATCCTAATACAATTTATTCTCCACATCTTAGACAACATTATAGTTCTCATTTATGCATTACAGTCTTCGTTTATATGAAAGTTTCAGATGTATAAACTGAAAAAGAGTGAATGATTGAGAGGTGAATATCCCTTTGATGAAAACAGGTATATTAATTACTCTCTAGTTACTCCATAAATCATGGTTATGGAATAGTACAATAAAAATCCCTATGCTTTTAAAATAGATAGCTTGTTCAAAGTGGCATTATGTTGTGTATTTGTATTTTTCCATCTAGGGATGCTCATTATCTGAAAGTGTGATGAGTAAGGGCAAGCATTACATTATGGTTCTTATGTCATAAAATAAAAATAAGCTTTGTGCAAAGTTACAGAATTTGGAATAAATGGATGTGTTATGATTACCAGAAATTACTGTCATGATTTAGCAATATAAAAATATGCAATGCAATTGGTAATAAACTAATTCTTAAGTTGTGTTGTGGTTTCATGATGTCTATTTTATTATTGATTACCATAACCTGCATCTGTGTTACATATATTCATTTCTATATATAATATATTAAGCTTTAAAAATAATAACAGTGTCACTCTAGAAAATATTTAACTTGACTAAAATGAAAAATTTTTTAGGGGAAGTATTTTTAAAAAATATCTAAAATGTTCCTGAGGTCATAGAAAATATTTCAATTGAGATTAAGTGCTCACTTCTTTTAGTACTTAATGATGGACACTTTGCCACACCCAGGTCAAATAAATAGGGTGTCACTGACAAGTGGGTAACATTTAAGTCCAAGGGGTCAGGATTTGGTACAAATAAACAAAATGTTCTTTCTATTGTTTGAACAATTTAAACTTTTCTTTATTGGTAATTTCTTAATCACTATCCTATAAAATGTCAAAAGCTCCACAGGAAAAAAAAGTTTTTTTAATCTAATTTCCATAATTTTGAACTACATATCCTAGTATCCTAAAAATAATTAACTTTTTCAACATTGGTTTTATATTAGTATATTACAATGGTTATTAAAAGGGAAGAGGTAATATGCAAGAAGTATTTTATAAAAAGAAAAAAATACATGTTAAAATCAAGCTCCTCCTTAATGCCCATCACCCAGTTACCCCATCCCCCACCGCCCTGCCTTCTGCAACCCTCAATTTGTTATATACAATTAATGAATCATTGAACACTACCTCAAAAACTAATGATGTACTATATGTTGGCTAATTGAACTTAACAAAAAAAATAAAAATAAAATCAAGCTCCTACATGTAATGCAAGAATAAGTAACAAAAGTGTC